GTGACATTCTGCATCTCAAATTTTTGGCCTTGTTATCTCCACATATCATCACCTACGATTGCTTTAGTTTCCCTTGAGGCTGGCATCCTGGTGTTGCCTTGTTTCTCTTACCCCTCACAGATACTTATGTCCAGCTTTCCATGTTTGCATTATGAAAAACATCTTTTCTCTTGCAGAATATCCTGAAAAGAACTCGGCCTGGGTCTGAGGAGGAAGTACAAGCAACACAGGCCTATGATGCACTTGAAAAGGTAGGTTTGCCAACTCAACCCATCCTGAAGAAAGGGCTCTGGGGGATTTGGTTGATAGTACACCCAATACAAGTCAATGATGTGCCCAGGCTGCCAAATGGACCAGCTGGATCCTGGGGTGTGTAGCAAACTGGCTGACAGAAGGGATTTGTCCAAGGAAGGACAACAAAGGTGGTGAAAGAACTAGAGGGCAAGACTTCAGAGAAGTGACTGATGACACTAGGTTTGTTTGGTTTAGAGGAGGCTGAAGGTGACCTCATTGCTGTCTACAACCTCCTCATGATGGTGTGAAGAGAGGGATGTGCTGATCTCTTCTCTCTGGATGCAAGGGAATGGCTTAAAACTGTCAAGGGAACTTCAGACTGAATATTAGGAACAGGTTCTTCAAAAGGTGTTTGGATAACTATCTTAGATCTATGTTTTAACTTGCAGTTTGCCATGTGTAAGAGTCAGGACATGGACTCAATGATCCTAATAGGTCCCTTGCAACTCAGGATATTCCATGACTCTCCACAGCCATCATGAATCACACCGAAGTGGCCCAATCCTTTTAACTGATCTCACCCTTGTCAAGGGTCCTTGTCACTGATCCTCATGAGTAACAGATTAGTGTGTTCATGTGCAGTGGCAGCTGTGTGCAGAAGACACTAAAGCAGGAATCAGCTGTCATGTGGCTGAACTGGCACCAATGATACCAAATTTCTTTTCTCAGGACCCATTTTTCCTTGATCTCCTTTTGCCTTTCCCTTTGTGTACCTTTGTCTCTAATTAATGATCAACTCCTACTCCAGCCCCTGCAAGAAAATCTCACTTTAAAGAAACACCAAAACAGTGTTGCGTCACTTCCTCTATCCTGTTGTCTACAATTTGTACATCATCATAATGTGGACAGTTCTGTCTAGTGATGATTTGACCTTCTTGGAGTGACACTCCCTTCTTTATAATCTCTCCCTTACTCTCCACTCTAATTAATGATCAACTCCTACTCCAGCCCCTGCAAGAAAATCTCACTTTAAAGAAACACCAAAACAGTGTTGCGTCACTTCCTCTATCCTGTTGTCTACAATTTGTACATCATCATAATGTGGACAGTTCTGTCTAGTGATGATTTGACCTTCTTGGAGTGACACTCCCTTCTTTATAATCTCTCCCTTACTCTCCACCACAACCCTAAAGACGAGTTCACCATAATGCAGAATTCCTTAAAGCCCTTGGGACTGCAGCTGCATACTGCACAGCTCCCAAAGCACTGCACTCTGAGGTGGGTGGGCAAGATGTCGTACACCAGAATTCTTAGACTCCAGCTGTGTTCAAGCCAGCATTCTCTCTGGGGTACTGTTTGGCAGCTCACAGACTGCCACAACCCTCGAGTTCACCATAATGCAGAATTCCTTAAAGCCCTTGGGACTGCAGCTGCATACTGCACAGCTCCCAAAGCACTGCACTCTGAGGTGGGGGGGCAAGATGTCGTACACCAGAATTCTTAGACTCCAGCTGTGTTCAAGCCAGCATTCTCTCTGGGGTACTGTTTGGCAGCTCACAGACCGAAATACCCCAAAGCACTGCACTCTGAGGTGGGTGGGCAAGATGTCGTACACCAGAATTCTTAGACTCCAGCTGTGTTCAAGCCAGCATTCTCTCTGGGGTACTGTTTGGCAGCTCACAGACTGAAATACCTCTGTTTCATGATGGCCTGTCCACACAGGTACTGGCATCAGTTGTACCCGTGAGGTACAACAGCTCTGGGTTGTGGAAAATTGGAGCTAATATTTATCTCATCAGCCTCCTGTGGTTACAGTGGAGCATCTAATAAGAGCTGCCTCTAAATGGGGGCCAGGCACCAATCTCTTCTCTCTGGTGAATGGGAATGACATGAAGCTGTGTCAGGGGAGGGTTAGGTTAGATACTCGGAAAAGATTCTTCACCTAGAGGGTGGTTGGGCACTGGAACAGCTCCCCAGGGAAGTGGTCACAACACCAAGCCTGCCAGGGTTCCAGAAGTGTTTGGATAACACTCTGAAGCACATAGTGTGATTTTTGGGGCTGTCTTGTGCAGGGCCAGGAGCTGGAGTTCCATGATCCTTGTGAGTCCCTTCCAACTCAGGAGATTCCAGGATTCTATTATATACTTTTTGCAGGAGGATGCCTAAGGAATTGTCACTTATGCTGACTCTTGAGGGGCTCCTGGGAGTAGTACTGATCCTGCCAGGCAGTTCTGCTCCCACCTCACTGATGGTCTGTTTTCCTCTGCAGCTCATCAAGGATTGCAATGAAAATGTCCAGCGCATGAAAAGCACTGAAGAGCTGATCTACCTCAGCCAGAAGATTGAATTTGAGTGCAAGGTGAGCTCATCCATTCCCTGAGCCTTGATCTAGCCTGATGTATTTCTGTCTTTCCTCACCAAGCCACTTGGCACTTACTTTTTATTCTCCTCTCCAATATACACAGAACTGTTGAACCACAATATCCTACACAGGTCAGCTCTTCATCAGTGCTTCCTGTGCCCAATCATTTATGTCAGCCTTCAGATGAAGGTGCCAGTCATGACTTACACCTCTCCAGCTGGAGAGTTGAAAGCACACTTCCTATAGAGAGAGGCAAAAATGCAAATCCAGACCTCATGGATACTCATTTTCTTGTACATGCTTGTCATAAATGTTTATTTTTGTCTTGCAGATATTCCCACTCATCTCACAGTCGAGGCGACTTGTGAAGTGTGGTGAGTTGACAGCACTGGACTTCAACAACCCGAGCCCAAAATGGAAAGTCACCACCCGACCCATCTACCTACACCTGTTCAATGACTGTCTGCTCCTGTCTCGACCGAAGGAGTGAGTGCTTCAACACAATTCTTGCTGCCCCTTCTAAAATACCTATCTCTTTCAGGATCTGTGCTTTGGTGACAGAGTCCTTTCCCTCTGCCTGCCAGCAAGTGGCAGCCTTTGTCAAGTCACTGTCCTATCCCGATCTGATGTATCCTGCAAGAATGTGGAAATTGATAGTCCTAACTCTTATATAACAATATATCTTCTGGTCCCTAGTGAACACTTCTGTTCTGCCTTTCTATCTCTATAACGTGAAGCATTTTAATAGTAACTATTTATTCTAGTTTACTTGGTAAATAATTTCTTAAAGTCTAAAGGACAGTATGAGGATTAGTGAATGCGCAAATCACTGGTTTGATGAGAGTTGTTGGTTGGTTGTGTTGGGGTTTTGAGGGTGGTGTTTTTGCTTTTAAGCTCTAAGCTACCAAATAAAATTCTGACAGGACAGAGCTTAGTATTTCTACCCTTTTCATTAAATCCTCTCCCTCTCTTTGGCCTTCTGAGACTTGTCGCAAGAGCAATGCTTAAGGTGTCTGAAGCAGATGAAGACTCATTGAAAGCTTTTTGCTTTCCTGACATCAGAAAACAACATGGACTTACTCTGTAGCCCTCATCACCTTAAAACTCACACCTTGTTTTGTTCTTCCTCTTTACCTGCAGGGGTGGACGTTTTGTTGTGTTTGACCATGCTGCTTTCTCAGATGTGCGTGGGGAGAAGTGCGAGATGAAACTCCATGGAGCAACCAAAAATCTTTTCCGTCTCTTTCTCCTTCAGAATTATCAGGGAATTTGTTTCGTACAGAGACACAGTAAGAGCTCACGGTTACCCTCAATATATCCCGTTACCATAGCCAGACACCTCCTAGGAACCTGATGGTTGCCCCTCAACTACCCAAGTGCTGAAGTATTAAATGCAGCTGCTGAACAGAGGTCTTGAAAAACATCCTCTTACTATAACTATTTCTTTATTGAGCCATCTTCCTCCTCTCTCACCACAGCTGCTCATACAAGACTACCACATTATATCATACCATCAACTTCCAAAACCTGGAATTTCTGCCCCTTCCCACCCCCTTTCTCCACTTCCCCTTTTTCTGCTTCCCCAAAGTAACTCCCCCCACCTTCCCTCAAAACCCCTCCTGTGAGCAAACATCCCTCCCCATTTCAGTCACCAGTCTGGTATCCCTCACAATGACTCCTGACACCTATTTGGTCATGTTTTCCAGAAGTGAGAAGCTGAGGTGGATCTCTGCTTTGGCTCCTCCACGGGGAGAACCAGACCTCCTGGACTGCCCTGGTGAGACTGCTCTGCTGCTGCAGCAAGGGGGGTGGGCTGGCTCAGAGGAGTTGGAGTCATTGTGAGGTGGAACATCCCAGAATGATTCCAAGGCAGAATACTTGCCTTTTTGTAGATAAAGAAGATACTCATGGGCTTTCCCTCAGTGCTCAGGTTTTGTCAGTTGTTGTATCTATTAACTCCTCATATTAGATGAAGACTTGTAGTGTCCCCTCTAATTCTCTGCTTTTTAGTGTTTGAGCAGTTCCTTATTCCCCACCTCCTCCGTGGCTGATGCACACAGGTTTACTGTTGCTTTCTAGTATACCAGTATGATCTTTCCTCTCCTTTAGATGCACCACAGGTTCAATGCATAAAGACTTACAAGGCTCGGGAAAATGATGAGCTGGCTTTGGAGAAGGCAGATATCATCATGGTTATGCAGTACAGCAATGATGGTGAGCAGAATGAACAATGGCTGTCTTAATTGTTGGATTGAGATTCTTTTTGGAAAGAGACACTTCATCTTCATAAGGACAGTTTATTTGGAAACCAAAAGGGGATCCCTTTCTTTGCTCTTAGGGCCTTGTAGGAAAGGGCTGTTTGGGAAGAATGAAAAAATGTGTGACTCGTGCACCTCATGTTGTGCTTTTCCTCACTCCATAGGATGGATGGAAGGAGTAAAACTTTCAGACCGGGAGAGAGGCTGGTTCCCCTCGGAACATGTCGAAAACATCTCCAGCAAACACGTGCGGCAGAAGAACCTGAAGGAGGAACAACGTGTGAAGAATGCCAAGCAGCAGGTCTTCTGCAAGAAATAAGACTCTGTTTGGACCTGTACAGTCCCTGACATGGGGAAACCTTGTTTTTTACTACTGTGCCTCAGAAGAAATGCCTCTGTGAAGAGCATAATACAGCACTTTGACAGAACCAGGTGCTTTTTGCCAAAGAAAGCGAGAATTCAATCAGGAAAACTAATTCACTTTCTCTGTGTCACCAGGACTCTACAGCACAGGAGGAGGAATAAAGGTTGCATGTATTGCTTGCTTTGTGGTAGTAGGGAGGGACTTAATTTGGACAGAGTTCTGGGATCTGGACTTCTGAAAATATATTCCTGGTTTTGCCACTTACAAGTTGTGGGACCTTATTCAAGTCACTTCAGAGTTCTGCCTCAGTTTTCCCATCTGCAAAATGGGGCAAAACGTACCTACCTCACTGCATGTTGTGAGGCTAAATTCACTAGTATTAGCAGACCAAGAGCTTTGAGTTCCTGAGAAGGAAGGTGCTAAGTGCAAAGCACAGTAGAGTTGAGGAGAGTTTGGCATTTGAATATCCTCTTGGATACTGTGATGGTGTTGATCTGCATAGTGTAATTTCTACTTAGAACAATTTATGAATTTGATCATGCATACTGGGTTTTAGATAAGCAAATATTTCATTGTACCTAAATTTAACTCAGTCTCAGCATGCTGAGAGTCCTTGACAGCATTAGAAAATCCACTGGAGTTAAGCAAAGTTTTCAGAAGTCACTGTGATGATTTCCCCCTGTGTAAGAGGTATCGTGCTGGAGGCTCTGCTTCGCACAGGTCACCTCTTTTCTGAGCAAGCAAAAGCCATCTATGACCCTTTTTTACCCTCCCTCCCCCTCCAAGTAGATAGATCAGTGACTTCTGTCAAAGATTTTTATTGGTGTTGGTACACACCCTGTACAAAATATCCTTGACTAGGCACATGCAATGAAGTGGCACTTTCCTGCTGCTCTTACTCTGATTGCTGATGTGGTATTGCATGCACCATTTTGCACACTTACGGAGAACACTGAGAGATTTAGCCACTGTAGATAAAGTCAAAATATGCACCAGAGACTTTGTTCTTTTTCAGAACTCTCTGGTTTTAAGTCCAGTTTACATGCAGTCCTGCTTTTGTGCAGAACCTTTCTATGTGAGGATATGCCTTTGACTGTAAAATACTGTTTTCTATGTTAAAGTGTTTGCGTTCAGCTCCGTCAATGCAAGATCAAGTATAAGAATCAAGACACCAAAGAAAGCAATGTGTAGCCTTCGTGCATTTAATATATTTGAATAATTAGTGATCTTCATATCTCCAGCTTTTTGTCTCTGTAACATTCTGCCTTTAAATCCCATTTATGTTGTATCTAGTATAGCTCATTACAGCCTATTTATATCAATAATTTTAGCTGGATTAAAAAGAGTTGCTTTTAGTCCTAATAAACTCATGCACTTCTCCAGTTAAAATAAATAACTTTCTGCTTTCCTTCTTACTTAGGTTTTCCTCTCGAAAAGCTGGAGGTGGCACTTAGTGGCATGGTCTAGTTGATATGGTGGTGTTAGGTCATAGGTTGGACTCAATGATCTCAGAGGTCTTTTCCAACCTTAATGTTTCTGTGATTCTGTAATTCAATATTTACTGAATACACATTCAGTATTTACATTATTTTTCCCTATAACTCTCCTTTCTAAGTGAATATTAAGTACAAACAGCTCTACTTAGCAGAGGCAGGGAGGAAAGCTTGCTTTATCAGCACACCCTGTGGCTCTTTGGTGTTATCAGCAGCCCTGAAGCACTTGCTGCTGCAGGTTCCAGAGTGGCATTAGTCAGCAGTATCTCAAGGTTAAGCTGAAGGGATGAATTACAAAAAATGAGAGCCAGGTCCACTGTATCAGTAAGACAGGACACAATTATTGGATTGCCTTTTAGTCTGTGGCCCAGACAACAACTGCCTACAACTTTTTTTCCCCCTGGAAGAACTGAAGCTGCTCCCTCAAACTAAGTGCAACAAGGAGGGTTATAATCCTCATCAAGACCCATGAATGTTCAGAGATGCAAAATGCCCATTTGTCCCAGGTTATCTCCAATTTATGCAATACCTAAGTCATCAGGATCATTAATGTCTCAACTGGGACAAAGAACACTGCCATGGGATCAGTTTGGTGTAAGGTCACCTCATGCAGGCAGTCTGAGGCATCCCCTGTCAACATCAGCTTCATCTTTGCTACCTGTACCAGGAGGAGGCAGCCCCAGAGATTGCTGCTCTAAATCAGAAGTCATCTTGTTCAACATTTTAAAAGTCAAGAATTCTTTACTCTCTGAACTTCTGCTCTCAAAACCAAGTGGGCAGATTGCTCCTTAAGAGTTTCCCCAGGAGGTTTCTATGCTAAATTCCCTATGTTCTTTTTAAAATTCAAATTGACACAGGAAACTTCAGGGCTGCTGTTGTTGTGATTGACAGCATTTCTGTACTGTTTAACTATTTGGATCAAAGGTTAACTTCTCCCTGTCATAGGTACAGCCTTTATTTCCTGATGTCAGGCCTTTCTATGGTTGGGAACACGTAAAGGTCAGTTTATGCTTCTAAGAGTAAGTGCTTATACCTCAGGTTACTTTGATTTCTTACAGTTCAGATAGGCTTCAACTTCTCATTATTTAGTTACATTTTTAGCCCCAGCACCATCCTGCCACCAAATCTATAAACAGATCTGCAGTGAAATGTTTTTCAAAACTGATTAGCATCTCTTTGATTTGTACAAACTTAATCAAACCAGTACAATATCCCTTCCAACTGCAGTTGGGATGTAGGAATCAAGTCAACAGAGCCTCTGCTGTGTCCTATCAGTCTTAGTTATGACTCAGGATTTCTCCCTACATTATCTAATATGGATAACCTGATTTTCCCCAAAATCAGCATTAAACAGAAGTGTAAGGTTTGTCAAGCAAATCCCAATACTTTTCCACTAGGATCCCCAAAGAAGGCCCAGGAATAGGAACACTGTGTATACCAGTGTATCTTCCCCAAGGACCTGTGGAGACTGTACATAGTATACCTGGACAAAGGAGATTCAGGATTTCTACACTGAAACAAAAAATTAAAGACACCTCTTAGAGGGCACTTACACTTGTTTCTTTGTGTGACAAGAGCAGCAATGAAGTGCAAGCTACATTTAACAGGTTTTGTTGAGAAGCTGAAAAATTCATGGTTTATGTCTGAAAATTAAATGTTATGACTGCTATCATTTTTCATACAAAGTATAAAATATATGTAAGTAGTTATATGTGGTAAAATATACATAAATATATATATATGTGGCTGTAAAAAAACCCCAACCCTCACAGCTCTGGAAACATCTGTTGGTCCCTCCTCGGGGAAAATAAAGGACAGCATTCTCCACATTTCTTACTCCCTTTCACAAAAATAAGCTGATGTTAGGACCAGAGTTTAGTACATAAACACAACCTTGCTCAGAAACAGGACCTTCTAAAGCAGTTAGTTCTTTTTATATTCACAGTTCTATCCAATATTGAAGAGGACCCATCCTCTCTAAGAGCAGTTGTGTTTTGTCAGCTGAATGCTGTTAACAAGTTAAGTGCTGTTTTAGTCACACTGACATTCCAGCCAGCATCTCTTGCAGCTGGTGGCTGAACTAGGTGCAGTTAGACTAATTATATGGGGAGTTGGGCACTGGAACAGGCTTCCCATTGCAGTGGTCACAGCCAGACAGAGTTCAAGAAGCTTTTAGACAACACTCTCAAGCACATGGTGTGATTCTTGGGGCTGTCCTGTGCAGGGCCAAGAGTTGGACTCAATGATCCTTGTGGGTCCCTTTCACCTCTCAATATTCTGTGATACTGTCTCCAAAATGCTGTCACATGTTTCAGCTTACACTCATTTAACATAATGATGAAACTACTTCAGGTGAAAGCATCTGCAGCAGCAGAACCTTTGAAGCCAGAGTGAACCTTGAAACAAAGAGAGAAGGTATGGGCAAACACACAGCAAGAGAATGGTGCTGTGCCAGCAATGAGATGGTGAACCAATAGCCACGAGGAGGATAAAGGATGTTCTATTTTGGTACATCAGAATACAATTAAGCAAGTCTCATTCCTCCTGCAAGCACTGTCTTTGCTGTTTGCAGACAGATGAGTGGTGTTTACAACCAGCCGCGCTTCCCTCGGTGGTCAGGACAGCTGTACACTGAGGATGCAAGTGCAGAGGGGTTGGTTTTTGGAGATATTGTGGCCCAAGTCTCAGCACAGGTCTCTCCATCAGCTGCATGTGAGAAGAAGGAAGTCAGAAAAGCCAGGCTTGGTTTGCTCCTGCTCTTCATCCTGTGTGGACACCTGTGAGCACATAAAGCTGTTCCCTGAGCAGATAACAACACTAACCCTAGCGTGAGACCACGAGCTGCCTGGCACCACTCTGTTAGGAGCCTCATTTTCACTAAGAATTGCTGAGTATCGAAAGAACACAAACTAACAGACCCTAAGTCAAGAAGTACCACTTGTTCCTTGCCGCTGCGGCCGAGAACCAGCAGCACTGCTGAACTGCAGCCGGAGCACACGAAGGACCGAATGTCTTCCTGCCAGCCAGGAAAAGAGAAGGAGAGTCAGTCATCTCATTCACACGGCGCG